TTTTTTTTTTTTAGTATATGAATTTGATAAGGAAAGTAATAACAAAATCAAAACTAAGAGTGCACTTTATGCTACTAATTTCTATCTTTATATAATATGAAAGAAAAGGCTTTATCTTTCTTCACATATTTCAATAAAAGAAAATTTCGAAACATATCTTATTCGTGTATGAATAATATCATACACCACTAACTTATATATACATCAGCTATAATTTCTACTAGTCTCATGCACGTGTAAGCGCATTTTATTCTATTATTTTTCATCGATCGAACTATTTTTTTCTTTCTGTGGGGTCAAGACAGAGTTCATTTGTTCATATTAAGAATGCGATACGTACTAGTTGCGTGTATTTGGTGCAAAAAGAATGCTAAAAAGCATTCAGTGGCTACAAAGAAATCATGGAGAAATATTTCTTCAAAGAAATTTCAATGGATTCATAAGCTTCTTGAAGATCGTGGCAGTGAATTAGAGGCAGAAATGTTTATTTGTAGTAAATGTTGTACCAGTTTATATAAAGAAAAGAAACGAAGAACTGTACAAAATAACATATCATTATTGGACTAATCTGAAGAAACTGTTAACGTCAATGTTTATGAAGAAAGTTATATTAAATTGTCAAATGTGGTTAAGATGGAAGGTTTTTATGGTGACGGAAATGATAAAGATTATTGCATATGGTGTTTGAAAGGAGGAAATGTAACTCAGCCTTTATCCAAACTCGAACGAATTTCACTAGTTTGTGAATTTAAAATTTATTGTTCAGCAAATGCTAGACGTTGTAAAGGTGGATGTGTCGATATTCCAGTTGAAAGATCGGGAGAATCAACTTATCTTACACATGACCAGGTGATTCTACTTGTTACTGATTTGATTCATGAAGTGAATCGTGTCAAACATATGCCTCTATTAGATGAAAATGACTCTATAATTTCCGAAGAGGACTATCCAGCATGGACAGGATGGAGTTTAACTCAGTTAAAAGATATGTGCTCACTTATTAATCCTCAAATGCGTACATCCAAACATCGTTTACCATTTGAAGCTGTTTGCATGTATTGGATAAAATTAAAAACAAATCTATCTTTCAGACAAATTGGGACATTATTTAAGATTCAAACCAAAGAAGAAAATATTCGGAGAAGGGTGGAAAATATTTTTCATACAGTTTCACGTTATTTATATGATGCAATAGTTCCATCAAACTTAGGCTTTCACCATCTTTCTCGTGCCGATGCTTTAACACACCATACTGCTTATACTGAAACATTTTTTGGACCTAGTTTAGCATTAATATGGGATGGAACGTACATTTATTGTAACAAAAGTGAAGATCATAAATTTCAAAAGGAAACTTACTCTGGTCAAAAATGTCGTCATTTGGTTAAGTTTATGTCTATAGTTTTACCTGACGGTTATGTCTTTGACTTAATTGGACCATTCAATGGAAAAGAAAATGATGCAAAAATATCGAAGGTATATAATCGTTTTGCTAGATTAGTACTAATATGTTGTTTTATGCCGATACACGTTTTATATCGCTGAAAATGAATCTGTGATTAGTTTTCTTCTAGCCGGGGTAAAAGAAAGTAGTTTTAATATAATACTAGGCATCACTATCAAGAATAAGAGTATGTATTCATGACTGAAATGAATATTTTTATACTAAAATATCTCGAAATTCTTGAAATGAATAGATTCAGTCTGTCACAATATCATTTACATCCCTTTAATTTAAAGGACTCGGCTCATAACATGAGTTAAATATGTTTGTAATAGCTATTTACGAAAAACTAAGCAATTGAAATGCAACTTATGGCATTTACTTATATAAGGCGAAACTTTTAAATGTAAATGATTGAATTTTAACAGGACAGTCTGTTTATATATTCTGAGGATAGAGAGCAAAAGTAGAATACAATGTTTTTTGTAAGCACCTGTCTAAATAAAAAATCGGAAATATAAAAAAGTCTTATAATCTATCTTGTAATTTTTCTTAGTAGTTCTAACAGTTCCAAACAACATTTTTGTCAAAAATCGGAAAATAAATTGTCTATGCACATATTCTGATTTTGATTGCTTCTATTTTTTTCTAACGATACTCATAAATTTGAACATTTTGGAATTCTAAATGTGATAAAAGGTTACTATTTCTGCTATATCAAGAAAATCTAATACTTTTTATTTTATTCATTCAGGCGATTCTCGAGATGAATGATGACTTATCTATGATCTGCGAAGCTGGTGATACACAGATTGTTGATCGTGGATTCCGCGACGTAGCCGATGCATTCGAAGAATTAGGATTCGATGTGCAAATGCCTAGTTTTCTTGAAAAAGGTGCTAAACAGCTTGAAACAGAACAAGCAAACGAAACAAGAATGGCAACAAAAACTAGATGGGTAGTCGAGTCGTTTCATTCTCAGTTTAAAAAATGGCGGTTTTTTTCTGAGAGAATCAGCCAAGATTTTCTTGTAAACATCGATGTTCTGGTCCGAACAGTAGCTGCCAGCTTAAACAAATATCGACCTCGTCTTTTTCACGGAAAGTCACCGGACGACTATGCCTTAGCCACTAAAATGTTGTTAATGCATAATAAAACAAGTCAACTTCAACAACTAATTTCTCAAGGAGATTTATCTTTAAGAAAAAATTGGAAAAACATAGTTCATTTTGATATTCATTTTGATTTTCCATATTTAACACTTGATTTTCTCCGAGAATACACTTGCGGCGTTTATCAAATTAAGCAAAGTTCAACTTACGCAAAAGCACATTTATATGACCATGGTGGTGAATTTGAATATCAACTTTCATCTTCCGATGATAACATTCTTCGTTGTCGAATACATAGTAAACATTCATCAACATCAAAGTATTTCTTATTGATACATTTCGACAAAAATGGCACTCATGAGCCGATAAAAGACCACTATTGCCAGTGCAAGTCCGGGGCAAGACAACTAGGATGCTGCTCGCACATAGCTACTGTTCTCTGGTACATGGGCAACGCACGGCACATCACCTGGATTCCATCAATAAGAACTGATGATTATCGAGAAAAAATATTAAAATGTTAAACAAAGACGCAACAATATTGTTTTTATGTAAAACACTTTTCATCATACATTAGGTAACATAGAAAAAGAAACTGTCTGATGGATTTCATCACTCAACTTAATAAATCCTGACCATCATAAATAATACGAATCAATTTATCAGAAACCTGATAGTTCGATCGATGAAAAATAATAGAATAAAATGCGCTTACACGTGCATGAGACTAGTAGAAATTATAGCTGATGTATATATAAGTTAGTGGTGTATGATATTATTCATACACGAATAAGATATGTTTCGAAATTTTCTTTTATTGAAATATGTGAAGAAAGATAAAGCCTTTTCTTTCATATTATATAAAGATAGAAATTAGTAGCATAAAGTGCACTCTTAGTTTTGATTTTGTTATTACTTTCCTTATCAAATTCATATACTAAAAAAAAAAAATCCTGTTATCGTACTATATTTATTTGCAACGTTTTTTAATAAGTGGTGCATGTAATTTGTATTGAACTTTAGCTGAATCTGTCAACAAATTTCATTCACTGTAGCACGATGTAGAAAATTAGAATGGACACAATCTTTCAAGCTTTCGATCCTTTATTGAAATTATATCTTCCCTTATAATAATTATTTCATTTGTATACTCTCACTGAAGAAAACATAAATATATGCATTTTCACTATGTGTTGGTTGTGAAAATGTAATTTTGATAAATATAAAATGAAGTTTCTACGATGAGGAGAAAAATAGAGCAGTTCTAAGCGTTATTGTCATTGATAGCCTAAAGAAAAAAAGAACGAAAACTTGTAAATACGTCACAGTTTCAACTCCTCTTCATGATTTCTATATTCACTAAAATTTTCAGAAACTTTCATAATACGATTAGTGAAAAGAACACCAAAAAAATAGTTTGTAAAAATTACAAAAAATTGTCATAGTTGTTAGAATGTTGTTGGGTCATTTCTCAGCCCCTTCGATTTTCAACATTGTTTTTATGGATAATGATAGAGCATCATCAAGGGTAATTTCTGAGAAAAAATCACGTTGTTACCGCTATGTTTTGAAGTATAACGGGGAGCCACAAAAATATGAATAAAAAAAAACATTTTATTTTTTTTATGATTTTTGTTTTTTTTACAGTATGAAAATTTTTTGTTTTATTATGCCATGGGATATTGAGTGAAGTGAATTTGTAGAGCGGGCTTCGCTCTACAAAACTACATAAGACAATAGAGGGTAAAGCATTTGTAAAAGAATTATTTCTTTATGACAAAATTACCTCTAGAATCCAAAATATGTGATATATCGATTTACTATTCATGTAAGAAAATGTTTTTAAAATATAATACAAACCTGTCTGGTTTATATACTAGTATACGTAACTTTTCGTGCTCTACAAAACCCTGTAT